CCCCTGGGGAAAAATCAAGAGGAAAACGGAAACCTCAGGAAACAGTCTAACACAAACTCTCAGGAGCCAAAAACAACAACAGACCTCCCGGGTGTCGAGCCCATCCTGTGTCCTAACAACCTCACAGGCCAGGCTAGACCTGCCCCTGTGAGCTTCCCAGACATAATGCACGATGTGACCCTGCTTTGATCAGGGTGATGGAAAACGCCGGTCCGGTCCGGTGCTGATGGTTCGACACTAGGCGGATGCGATGGACACCTCTGAGCTGCACAATGGGATGGGGCTGAAATGGTAAATTTCCACGTGATACACACACACACACACACACACACACCATATATATCCGAGTATAAGCTGAGTTTCTTAGCACATTTTAAATGCGGTTTTCGTGGTAAAATTAGGTGCCGATGCGGATATTCGGCTTATACGGGGTGTGTGTGCGTATGTGTGTGTGTGTACTCACCCCTGATAAACTTATCACAAAAGCATTTCATGAATGTTGCTGTTCTTGAGTGCCGTCCAGTGGGTTCCGACCTCCAGGGACACTGGACAACAGAAGGAAACTCTGCGTGGTCGGTCCTGCACCACCCCACCATCACTCTTATGCCGAGCCCATTGTTACAGCCACGGTGTCCATCCATCTCCTTGAAGACCTTCCTCTTTTTCGCCACCCCTCCACCTTACCAAACACGATGTCCTTCCGGGCTGCACTTCGTCCTCTGGGCTGTCCATGGCCCGTTCAGATCCCAACCCCACATATAAAGGCACGGGTTCTTCCTTGGGCTTCCTGATTCAATGTCCAACTTTCACATGTGAGATAGTGAAGGTTTATTGTGCTAACTTGGCCGATAAACACATGTGGGGTCAATTGAAGGGCGGAGAGATAAATGGCTCGGTGAGGCTCGCCTTTCTAGTTCTCGGGTCTCTTGCTTTGTGATGGTTGGACCAGGGTGCAGCTTCCTTAGCAGTTCCCTGCTTCAGCTGGCAAGGCTCACTTCCTGCAAGACATCCCTGAGGAGAAGCCACATGGACCTACCCTGATGCAGCCCTGGGTGCTGGAGCAGCCGCGTGGAGACCCCTGCCAGTGCTAAGATGCTTACACGCTCACTGACTCGGCTTTCCTCCTGCAGTCGGCATCATTGTGTGTGTTTTGTGAGATGGAGGAGGACTTTGTAGATTGTTGTCGGACATATGGGCTTATGTTGGATTTAGGAGCTTGGGCAGCACTGGGTTGGGATGCTGTCTTAATGTAGACTTACCCTTTATAGAAAACTCTCTCTCTTATGCATATGAGTTTCTGTGGATTTGTTTCCCTAGTTTACCCAGACTAAAACAACGTGCATATGAGGCAAGGGAAAACACCATGGTTTGAGTCCGGTGCACCTTAGTCCTCAGGGGAACATTCTTGCTCTTCAATATTCTAGAAAGGTCGTCTGCAGCAGGTTTACCCAATGCAACTCGTCTTTTGATCTCTTGACTGCTGCTTCCATGAGCATCAATAGTGGATCCAAGCAAGACGAAATCCTTGACAACTTCAACCTTTCCTCCGTTTTTATGATCACGGTGTTACCTGTCGGTCCAGTTGCGAGGGTCTGGCCCTTCCTTACACGGAGCCGTCATCCATACTGAAGGCTGCGATCTTGGAGCTTCATGAGCAAGCGTTTCAAGTGCTCCTCCCTTTCAGCAAGCCAGGCTGTGTCACCTGCTTACCACAGGATGTTAATCACCCTTCCTCCAATCAGGATGCCACACTCTTCTTGACAGAGCCAACTCCTGTGAGGATTTGCTCATCGTACAGCTTAAACGAGTCTGGTGAGAGGACAGGGCCCTGATGCACACCTTTCCTGGTTTTTAACCATGCAGTGCGCCCTTGTTCTGTTTGCACAATTGCCTCTCAATCCATGTACAAATTCTGCCTGCGCACAGCCGACTCTTCTGGAATCCCCATTCTTCTCGAGGTTATCCATAGCTCGTGATGGTCCACACAGTCGAATGCCTCTGCATAGTCAATAAAACACAAGTAGGCATCTTTCTTGCTTTCCATCTGACACCAGCAATGATATCCCTCGGGCATATCTGCCTATAACCTTAGTTTAAAAAATAAAACTCTAAGAAAGGCATTGTTTGGAAAATGATGATGGCAACAAATGTACAAATGTGCTCGACACAGTGGATGGATGGATTGTGGTAAGAGTTGTATGAGCCCCCAATAAAATTATTATTTTTTTAAAAATTATTATTCTTTTTAAATGAAACTCTAAAACACTCATGGAGTCAGTCCTGACTCACAGAGACCCTGTAGAACTGCCCCTGTGTGTTTCCAAGACTGTAACTCTTCACAAGAGTAGAAAGCCTCATCTTTTTCCAGCGAAGCAGCTGGTGGTTTAAAACTGCTAACCTCACAATGAGCAGCCCAATGAGTAAGCACTGCGCCGCCGGGGCTCCTTACTTTAGAAAATAGACAGTTTTTTAAAGAAATGCCTGGAGGTTGCAATCTGCCCACCCTCTCCTCCCTCCCCATTGTCCCCATTTTGCAGAGGCCGGCGGTTCAAAACCGCCAGTTGCTCCGAGGGAGAAAGATGAGGCTGTCTGTTCCTATAAAGAGTTAAAGTCTCCAAAACCCCAAGGGGCAGTTCTACTCTGTGCCACAGGGTGGCTGTGAAGGAAATAACCTAAGGCCTAGCGTCTGGCTGGGGTCGTTGTCGAGTTTCTTGCGCCCCTTGGTGGTCAGAGTTTGCTACTACATCAGCACCAGACGCCACCTGCAGTAAAAGGGAGACTTGGCTGAGCTGTTCGAGGTCCAGCCCCATAGGTCATTCATTAATTCATTCAGCAACTATTTATTGAATGCCTACTGTGTAGCAGGAACCCTTCAGGCCTTAGGGATTCAGCTTAGAGCAAGGTAAAAGTCCTTAACCCCAATTCTAGAGAGACAAGGCAGGTAGGCTTCAGAGGTAAGCCAGCCTCCAAATCGAAACTCACAGCCACTGAGTCACTGCTGTGTTTCTGAGACGGTAACTGTTTACAGGAGTAGAAATCCCAGTCTTCCTCCCGCAGAGCTGCTGGTGGTTTTGAACTGCTGACCCTGTGGTTAACAGCCCAACTGGACACCACGGCATCACTCAAAAAAAACAAAACAAAACTTATTGCCATAGAATTGGTGTCGAACTCATTGGGACCCTATAGAGTAGACCTGACCCTGTGAGTTTCTGTAACTCTTTTCTCTTTTAAAAAACCGTTTTATTAGGACATAATCCAGACATCAGACAGCTCAGTCATATCAAGAAGCAATGTACATCTAGAAGGAGGAGAGGGGTTGAGCAGAGTTGCGGGCCACAAAGCCAACAGACAGGAATCCATTAGGATTTTATATGCCAACCATGAAAAATCTGAGAAGAAATTAAGGAAACAATTCCACTTGTAATAGCATCTAAGAGAATAAAATGACTATGAGTGAATCTACCCAGGGATATGAAAGACTTCAATAATAAACTATAAAAGGCTGAGCAGTGAAATAGAAGAAGACTTAAATGAAGAAACCCTGCATGTTCATGGACTGAAAAGCTGAATATCGTTAAGTTGGCGGTGCTACCCACATCTGTTTACACATCCAGTGCAGGCTAGTCAAAATCCCAACAGCCTTCCTTACGGAAAGTCTCACCCTCATACGGAATGGCAAGCCATCCCAAATGGCTGAAGCAGTTTTGAAAGAAGAACAAAACAGGACTCACTCTTCCTGATTTTAAAGCATACGGTGGAGTTACAGTAATCCAAACAGCCTGTAATCCAAGCAGACTTAGCAATAGGCACCTAGACCAATGGGTTAGAATTGAGAGCCCAGAAATAAACCCACGTATCTATTTATTTTTAAGCGTTGCACAATCACTGCCACAATCAATTATAAAGAGGCTGTAACTCTTTTTTTTCCTTTAAAAATCATTTTGTTGGGGGCTTATACAACTCTTATCGCATCCATCCATTGTGTCAAGCACATTTGTACATTTGTTGCCATCGAGACTGTAACTCTTGACTGGAGTAGAAAGTCCTGTCTTTCTTCAGCTGAGCAGCTGCCGGTTTCGAACTGCTGAACTCGTTGTCAGCAACCCAACACCCACTACGCCACCAGGGCTCCTCCAGATAGTTCAAGCTGCTAACAAAACACTGTGGAAGTAGTCCGGGGAGCAGAGAAAGAAGACTGTAGGTGCATTGGCCCTAAGCTGCGGGTGTTCACTGACGCCGACTCAGGCCATCCCCAGTCTGCTGTGGTCCACAGGGGTCCTCATTGGCTGGTTTCCAGGGACCGGTCGCCAGGCCTTTCTTCCTCGTCCCTCTGCACCTGTTCGGCTTCCCTGGGACTGCCGAGTGCAGCTGGCCCAGAGAGGCTCCTGCCTGCTGCGGCCGTCGTCCTGTTTCGAGCGCCCCCTGGTGGCGCTGAACCTCAGGTGTCCTGTCTGGACAGGAAGGTTTCCACTTGTCCCTCCTGAAAGCTCACTGCCACTGGGCGTCGTCTTGCCCCCACTTTTTGGGATGAGAAAACTGAGGCCCAGGAAGGTGGAGGGACTTACTCAAGGTCACACAGCTGGGAGTGGTGTGGAGTGAGAGTCGACTGGGGTCTCAGCCCACCCACCCATCCCCTCACTTCCCCAGCAGGTGTTTCCGGAATGCAGGGTGGGGGCTGAGGACAGCGGTGCGCCACGAGGCCTCCAGACACGCAGGGGTTAAGGCCAGCCAGCTGCTCTGCACAAAAGCAGGACAGAGCCATACTCTCCAGCCAGGGCAGGCTGGTCGGCAGTGCGGGCGGGGCCAGTAGCTCACCACTCCCCCCTGCACACCGCCTCTGCGCTGGTTCCACCTGGCACAGGGCCGCCCGCGGCCGGAAAGGCAAGTTAGGCAAACAGGTGGTGAGACCAGCAGCAGCACACCAGACTCGGGTCCCCTCCCCACCCCCACACCAGGCGGGTGCCCAGGGCCTGACTCCTGACACCTGCCCTGAGACCACTCAGCTCCTCACACAGGTAAGTCCCCCTCCTGCTCTGCCCACCACCTTTCCGATGTGCGCCAGGGCTCCCCTGTTGCAGGATTCAGGGAATCCCTCCTTCTGCCCAACTCCCCAGGAAGCAGAGGCCTGGCCCTCTGCATGGGCATCTGACATAGTTTCCAAAGGGATTATCTGGCCAGCAGTTCCTGCCCTGGCCGCCTGCCCGGGGCCTCACTTAAAAGGGTCATTGTTGTCCAGGTGGTGCCAGGAGGCCCGAGGGGCACAGGTTGGCCTTGGCTGTCCCTAGTGGAAGACAGGCGGTCATCCGTACCCACCAAGACCCAGGCTTTCCCACTGCAGCCTGAAGTTGTAGCAGTCGAGGCAGGCACCTGAGCTTCCAGTAGCTTCAAGGAATTCCCAAGAGAATTACAACCTCCTCGCCCCACTGCTGGCGCTTCTGGGAGTTTGGGGAGCACCCGGGACCAGGCTGAACCCATTGCCAGCCCCTCCAGGAGTTTGGGGGGAAGACCAGGCAGGGAGTGATTAACTGGGACTGTTGTTTGGGGCAGGGGTAGACGGGGCTCACAGGGGTCCCCTCACTGGACTCCGTTCTGGGTGAGGCAGGAAGGTGGCTCCCATCAGAGGGAGAGAAGGTGGGGAGTCGGTGGTGGCCAGGGGAGTGGTGGTGACCGTTTTCTGGGTCAGTGGCTGCCCTTTGCAGAACAAAGCGAGCGTCCCTGGGAGAGCAGGGTCAGGTTGCAGCCTCAAGTCTCTTTGTCCAGGAGGTGGGTGTCCTCCTGGGAGGTGGTGGACTCTGCCTGGTGGAGGGCCTGGGGAAGGAGGGTCCACCTGGGACCAGGGAGGCTGGGGCATGCAGTGTGGAGCACAGTGTGAGCCTGGTGTGGTTGGGGGTGAGTCCAGGAATCCTGGGGGAGAGTAGAGAGGGGTTTGAGATCAAGAGCCAGAGGGGGCGGGCCACTTCTGACAACCCTGATTCCCAACCCCACAGGGCCAGCCAAACAGAACTGGCCTTTGCCTTGGGCCTCAGTTTCCCCACTCTGCACAATGGGGATAAGGAAAGCCTTTGAGCTGCTGGCGTGGGCCCGCGGGTCCTTGCTCCGGGGTCAGGTGGGTGTCGAGAGAAGCCAGCCTACTCAAAATCTGAGCCGGAGGACGTCAGTCCAGGCATGTGGTGGACATGCTTGGGCTCAGAGAGGGACAGCCACTTGCCCAGGGCTACACAGTAGTGAGGGAGCCCAGGCAGGCAGCTAGGAGTCCGACTGCAGAGAGGGTGAGTCTGGGAGCTTCTCTGGGTGGCCTAAGCTTGGTGTCTTCAAGACTCCACTGCCCTTCCTTGGTTCAAGGCTAGACTGAGCAGGCCGGGCGATACTTCCGCGTGGCCTTGAGGTCTGGGGAAAGACCCGGGCAAGCCTTTGAGCTGCTCTTCCTCCTGGGCTGGCCTGGGGCCCAGCAGAGCAGTGTTTGTTCGGGAGTGTCTGACACCCTTTGGAATGGGCTGTGGTCAGAAATGGCTTAGGGCTGGGGGGAGGAGTTGCCCTGGAGGTGAACCTGCATTTGCTCAGCGCCTACTGTGTACCAGCACAGGAGCCCCAGGGGTTCAAAAGGCGACACATTGGGCTACTATTTTCAAGGTCCTGTTCCCAGGGATAGGCGTCCCGGAGGTGTGCCAGATGAAGCATTGGACTGCTCACAGTAAGGTGGGCAGTTCCAGCCCACCAGCTGCTCCTGGGGAGAAAGATGAGACTGTCCATGGCCGGAAAGATTTACAACTTTGGAAACCGTGTACAGGGTCTCGATGAGGCCGATCGGGAACCCTGGTGGTGTTGTGGGCTGCGGGTGGGGCTGCTAACTGTCCAGCCATCCTGCTAGAGGAAGACTAAGATTTCTACTCCTGTCGTGAACTACCGTCTCAGAAACCTACCTGGTCCAGTAGGGTCACTGCGAGTAGTGGCAGTGAGGGATCTGTTTACCACAAGAAAGTGGCAGGTCTCGGAATTCTCACCTTCCGTGCCTGGACCAGGTCCTGTTCCTAGGAGCTTAGCAAACCAGGTAAGCCCGGGCTGACTTGTTTGGTTTTTACTCCATCAAAGATTCTCCTTCTAGGTGTGGCTGCCATCTGTCTGGCCCCCCAGCCCCCAGCCCCTCCCTCCAGAAGCAAAGTCCTCTCTTCCACTCCGCCATCCCTGACAGAGAAGGAGGAGCCCATTAGCAAGGTAAGCACAGGTTTCGGCGTGCTTACAACTGAGAGTGGGCAATTTCCCGCAGTGGCAACTCAGCGGTGAAACTGCTACAACTTAGTGCATAAGCACACGTTAGCCCATACTTACCTTGCTGAGGAGATACTCTGTCTTATAGGGTCCTATAGAAATACCCTGCCCCATAGGGTCCTATAGAGATACCCTGTCCTATTCTGCCCCTGAATATACCTCATGTGCAGCCACACACACCCCTGTCTGTCCACGGAGGCCGACGTGTTGCTGGGATGCACAGCGGGATGTCCGGATTTAAGACAGACCAGGAAGAAAGGCCTGGCTAACTACAGAGGATCAGTCAACGAAAACCCCTTGGGTCACAATGGCCCGGTCTGCAGCCGAGCGGGGGGCTGGCGTAGGACGGGCTGGGTTCTGTTTTGCACAGGGTCGCCATGCGTTGGAGACTGGCTTGAGGACAAGCCACAGCTATGTGGCAGGTGCTGTTTGAACCTGGGGGGAGGGGAGGTATCTTAAACAGCATGGAGAGTCTACAGAGACCCCCACGCCGAGGGTGTTATATCTTAGTGGCAGAGCACGAGAAACAAGAGGCAGGGGTGCGTGGACTCTCCCCCAGCGGCCTGGCTTCCAGGTTCATCCCAGAGTTTTAAAAGGAGATAATAAAGTGGACAGGAATATAAGGGACTGGGTGAGGGGGCAGCAGTATCGATGGAGGAGGAACAACCTCCAAAGCCTAACTCACCTCCATGGAGTTCATCCCGACCCCTCACGACCCTATAGGACAGGGTAGAACCGCCCCTGTGAGCTTTCCGGGAGCACAGCCCCTCGTTTTTCTTCATCTGAGCACCTGGTGGGTTAGCAGCCCAAAGGGTAACCGCTACGCCACCAGGGGGAAGCATTTCTCAACCTTACACAGAGCGAGACCTGGGCGTGCGATGGGCTCAGGCCCTGCTCACCGCAAGGCTGGAGGTTCGAGGCCACCCAGGGGCACCTTCGAGGAAAGGCCTGCTGGCTTGCTTCGGAAAAAACCCTACGGAGCCCAGTTTTCGTCTGATGCATGCAAGCCCAAAGGTTGCTCTGTGGCAACTGGCTCGTTTGTTTGCCTGACCCCTCGAAGGGGTGACATTTTAACAAATGTTGGCCAAAGCCGGTATCTGGAGGTGCGTGCTCCTTCCGGGCAGAGCGTGCAGCCTGTGCAAAGGCCCTGGGGCAGGATTGCGCCTGGTGAGTTGGAGGGACAGCCCCAGGAGGCCAGTGTGGCTGAAGTGGAGGGGACAAGGGAGAGAGAGGAGGAGGGGAGGGCGGGGAAGGGAAGGGGCCCTGTGGGCCACAGAGAGGACTCAGGCTTTGATCCAAGGGCGATGGGAGCCCTGCAGGGCCCTGGGCAGGGGAGGGACAGGCACCCTCCGGTTACTTCCTTCGGGGAGAACAGACTTGGAGGCGAAGGCATAGTCGGGGATCAGGGCAGAGTCGGGCGCCCTGGGTCTGAAAGGAGGATGGGGGGGTGGGCGGGACCACGTGGAGGAGGCAGCGGAGACGTCAGCGGGTTCTGGATGGATTACGGTAGAATTGACACTGGCTGATCCATGAACCCCGTCTGACAGAGACCATAAGTGGTTATTGCCCTGCCTGGGACTATCGATGTGTTTTGCATCTCTCTGAACAGGTATCCCAGCATCCTTGCTTGCCTCTGAGGGGCCCTGGTGACCCTGGGGGTTTAGTGTTTGTTCAGGGTAAGGGGAAAAGTCGGGAGAAAGCTCTAGAATTTGAAGATGATCCTATGTGGGAAGGATTCGAAGTCAGAGGGATGGAAACCAGATGAGGGGGCACGGGCGTGACACGGCCTTTGGGTTTTATGATGTTAACGGGATGGTTTTTATCTGCTGAAGGTGGCCCCATGACTCAGGCAGCGTCAATGCGTAAGTCTGTTAGGCATGGATTCAATTCATTCATTAACATGGGAGCCAATAAGATTTCAGAGGGCACTCTGGGATTCCAAGAGGCAGTCACCCACCCACCCACTGTCACCCAGTTCACTCTGACTCATGACCACCCTCTCAGACAGAGCAGAAGGACCCCACCCCACCCCCGGGGTTTCCGAGGCTGTCAGTCTTTAAAGGAGCAGACAGCCTCATCCTTCTCCCTGGAAACACAGGGATCCAGGGCGGATGATCCCTTCAGGACCAGTGGTGTGAGTGGCGATACTGGGAGCGTAGAGGGAGAGTGG